TCGTAAAGAATTGTAGCAATATTTGTTGTCTAGTCACTGCTCAGCAAGTGAGAATTTTGACGGCTATTCAGCAGTCTCGAAACTAAATCCCGCTCACGGCACAATTACCTGACCGACTAACCGTTATGTTAACAGCCATAATACACGCACGTAAAAATAATAATCCTAAAGAAGATAGTACTTTCGTTTGATGGTTTTTATTGCATCGCTAGAGAAATCGATCAGTTGGTTCGCCAAAGGACGCGTCTGACCTCAGGCTAATTTTCCGGTATCGATGATGACGTGATCATTATATAGGGAGGGTTTTATTGATGGACCCGAGTCTAGTTCAGGCTGCGGCTACAGCAGAAGATGCATCGGCAAAATGTTTAAATCTACACTTTTCTGATTTGTTTCCATTCCATTATTACAGAAATATGCATCACATGCGACAAAGTGACAACCAACCATAAGCTCGGCTGAAGGTAGCAAACTGACTCAGTTGAAGTTCCCCACAGTCCACACCTCCTCAACTTCCACCTCTGCCTACTAATTTTCCACAACCATAAATCGAATAGAAAAATGTTGCTGTCTCATTCCGCGAAGCTCGAACTCAATTCAGAATCCAATAAAACAAGTAACACAATACGAGCAGAATTTATCATATCAGCCACTTCCCGTGATCCCAATCAGCTGTCAACACACAGTTGGTAGATTGGAATATTATAAGAAAAATACCAAATTTAAGGATATTTAAATAGTTACGTTGACTCAAGCGGAAATATTGATAGCCAATTTCATTTCTGCTCATGTATTATTTTATCTATTCGAATGAATTAACATGACAGGCTGTTTCCGATCTCAAAAATGAATGAGCGAATCAATCACCCGAAAGTGATCAATGACAAGTTCTAAGTGGTAAATGCACAATCAGTTACAATAAATTCTCGATTTCTAGCGCAGTTCACCAAGATCCTTGCATAGAATCTAGTTGTTATGGTTTAATTCTGATCAAGTTGCTTCAGTGTAACATCGATCGACGCAGAAATGACATAGCGGCATTTGTTGTACATTAAAACATTTAGAATGTCTTGTCATAACCTTATTGGGCGTCTCTGATTTACAATTACTTAAGTCAATTGGTTCGGAGTGACGTTCCCCCAAAGAGAGATCGTGTAACGCAGGTACGGACAAATATTGAGGCTGAATGGAACATAGAGATGGGTGTTTCATCAGAAAGTGGGGTCGAATATTCACTGGAAGACTTCACATTTTGGAAGATTTGAGCTGCAAATAAATGAAAACACTTTGTGTGTGACGTTTGCACAGTAACAGTAGATGGTGTCTATTTTACTAAAATGTTTGATCAAACAGCACTGTTGCCACAGATTCTTTCGTTCTTATTTTCTATCACCTGCAAGTGGTTTTGTCTTTTCTCGTTAAGTAACTAAACTGAGCTTTCCTTGAAACAGCAAGAAAACAGCACAGAACACATTGTGAAAACAATGAATTTTAAAAACAGTTATACATGTGCACGATACTTTATTTTTATCATGCACAGTGCAACATCATTATGGAATATTTGGTATGAATAATGAACGTAATTATTCACTAATTGAATTGATTTATCATACAAAAAACGGGGTCGGAGCCAAAGTTTCAGACAACTAACCTAACACCATTAAAAACTGCATTACGAACTGCAATAAAAAAATTGATAAAAGGCAAACGTTTCTGGCATAGTGGGCCTCAGATTCCAGCAGAAGACGTTTGCCCAATGGTCGCCAAGACTACTGAGGATGAACTATCTGTTGCCTATTCACAAACCCAAAACCCAACCGCGTTACAGAAAAATTTATGATAACACCAAGTCATCCATTCAACAGAGCTCCGTGACTGATCGATGCATGCATATATGCTATCAGGACGGTTTTTCAATTAGCAAGACACTTGATTGAGACTGCTCCATCCTATAGTGAAATGGCTACGCGTATAGATTAGTGTCACAGCGTGCACTCGGGAGCCTAGATGGTGTTGGAAATAATGTGAGTCGATCATTCAAACCAGGTATTTTAGTGCTAACCCCTGGTGTTTACAGATTTGACCAATGCCTAGCTTCTGCATTGTCACTAACACCTGAATAACTCACAGCCTGAGGCACTGACCCTTGAGAGCATTGTGATCTGGAATCAGTGAATTAAAGATTTCTTTGGAGGAACAGAGTTGTTCAGATGACTTTTTGATGACATTTTAGCAGTCTTTGACCAAAACCAATCTATAACACAGTCGGCCCAATAACTTGCACACTTTGAGCTAAATTGATCTTGGCTATCAGTTGTCTCCGTTTGAACCCACTGAACCCAAATGAGATTTCCGAAATTTTAATTGGATTGTGAATATGATCGGATTTTGCCTCAAAGCGCGCTCTAATTTCAGTGAAACTAGAACATTGCATAGTTTGCATGTTTTATCATGATCGTCGATCATTCTGTTTTTAATTGGGGAGTGGGAATCCAGCTGTCATGTTGTTTCCTCCTCGCCCCATTCAGAAGGATAAAAAACACATGATTGAGAAATGCACGTAATTCAGTTACACTCGTCAATGACCAGGCCGAACATTTGAGCTGATAGACCACCGGTTAGAAACGTTCCAATAAGTGTAGGCGTGATCAAATGATTCCCACGGAGTTTGTTTGAGGCGTACGACGGAGGTGGTGGGGGGGGGGAGGGACAGCTATTACCAGTGATGCAAAAAAAAGTGGGCATCATGAGTCAATTTTGGTTGCACACTGGGAGCTGGATTGTGCATCATGATTAGTAAAATCCCCCAGAAGTATGAGAGTTTTGAGAATTGATTGCGTAATAATATTACATAAACAATACAAAAGACAGAATAAGATCAGCTGAACGGCGAAATGTCATGCTGCACTTCGAAATCGATGAAACCGGGTTCGCTTTGCGCGTACTCCGTACATTCGAACATACAGACGATGTCATCGGCGTACTCCAAATCCCACAGCTTTTCTCCAGCTGTCCATTCAATACCTACGTTTTGGAGTCCAGTTGGTGCGTTCTCGAATATTTCGTCTACGACAAAAGTGACCAGGAACGGCGAAAGAGGGCACCCTTGACGAATGCCGCTGCTGGGGAAGAACAGTTTGCTGTAGACCCTTACATGACCGGAGGTATGTGAGTACAGTGACCTCAGTAGGTTAACGTACTTCTGGGGCATTCCTTTTAGAAGAAGGGAGCCCATCAGAGCTTCGCGATCAACTGAGTCGAAGGCTCCTTTCAGGTCAAGAGACACTGCGATCGTTGGCCGACGGTGAGTATGACGCAGCTCAAGGATCTGACGCAACGTAAAAGTCTGATCAATACATCCACGACCAGGCCGGATTCCGGCTTGCTGTTCACGGATGTTGGTCTCTCTTAAAGGCGTCAGACGTCGAAGTATAACCGAAGCTAGCACTTTGGTGGCGAACGGGGTCAAACTTATCCCGCGGTGGTTTTCGCAATTGTTGCGGGATCCCATCTTGAAAACGGGAGCGATCAGTGATTCGCCCCAAGATGGAGGAATGTGCTCTTGCATCCCAATGTTGCGCAATGTTGCGATGAACAAACACCTGTTAGTGTTGCTTCCATTCCGGACGCTGATTGATCCCTGGAGACGTACTGCACATAAAAGACTGTTGACGGGGATCCAATCGATAAGAGAGGACTCCGCCCTATTACTCAGTACAATAAGTATCCCGCGCTGACCGACTGAACGAGCTTCATCGTCGCCTGATGTGCGAAGAACGTATCTCGTCGTCAAATCTGGCGCCCTCGAGTGGCTTAGAGTAGTAGGATCCTGGATCCCAGTTTCCGACACGCAGTAAATATCGATTCCTAAGGATTCCGTTGTACGAACCAGACAAGCTTGTTGATCTAGCTATATCAAATACCTCACGTTGAAGGCCCCCGGATTCAGCGATTGACGAGGGTTTAGAATCTGCAATCCATTCCGTAGTAAATCACTTACAGTGCTATTTGCAATGACCTTTGGCGAGCGACATCCAAGTTGCTTGAGGGACTATTACAGGTCGGTAGAAGGGGTAAAGGGAGAGGGTTGGGAACGGAAGACAACGAGTTAAACAAAGGTGGGGATATCCGAGCAGTAGTCCACTTAACACTACCCACCCCGCTTGATGCAATGGACAGCGCGGTCCTGATTATCCTGCGCGACGACCGATGCAGTATGGAATTATTTTTATTTTGTGTATGCATTGGGGTTTGGTGGACGGGTACTGCTAGGGTGTCCAGCAGGAGAACGATTAGGGTTCTCATCCAAAGCCTTTAATTCTAACGAGAAACTAACCGCAAGGCAACGGGTGAGGCGAAGTGATGGCCCATTTACTTGGATCGAATACTCCTCCACCGTTTTTTATCCAATGAAACGCCAAATTCCAGGCGGAGGAGGACCAGGAGACTGAACTTCGTCTGATCTCTACCCATTGACCTTCCAGGCATGATGAAATCTCCTGGCTTTATAAATTCATCCTGTGTAGCTCGTTGGGTCACAGAGATGCACAAGCCATCACACCACGTCAAGGTGTAGCCTCGTCGTGATGAAAAAGGCCAGAGCACAATTTGACGTATGGTATATAACTTTCGGCAATCATTCGTCATCACATAATCTTTTCTCCATCAAAGAGTGTTGGAAACCAATTTTTATTTTGGGGACAATAAACAAGATAACCTGTATTTCCGTGTTACGATATGTCTAAACAGATCAGTATTTTATTATTATGTCCATCACCATTCCATATTATGAGGTTCCTCCCGTATACCATCAATTTATTCCATGTTTAATTTTATTTAATCACTCTCTTATTGTTTAGTCAACTTGCTATGGCTTCCCTCAATTGTCAACAGCGTAATTCCTTGCATTCAGATGGCACGTTTCGGTATTTGACACAGCAAAATATTCACATAAAATGAACTTATGTATTTAAGTTTACTATGCATATCGATTTTTTTGACGTCACATGATCATATTTTTATGTTGTTCCATGTTATAGAGATGGCAGTATTATTACAGTCGCAACGTCCAGGACTGTTTTCATCTTGTTTGCCGTTGTACTGACGTTCTATTGCTGTCGTATGGTCACGCCCTCTATTGCAAAACTGCTTCTGATCTGTTACAGACTGGTTTACGAAAAACAGCAATACGGTTGGATTGCGCTTAATCCATCCTTTGCACAAGATGAGGCACAATCTTAAACTTGTAACTGGGGCAGGAAGGGTTACCTACACCTCTGAGAATATACATGTTATTGAGCTGAATTGCAACACGTTTCCCTACGGCGAAGGTTTGGTCGTAGTAGTAGGGTTCGAAGAGTGACCCTCAGGAACAAAGGGATGCAACTCGAATCGATTGATTAACACTGCTATCTTGTTTCACCCATCTGAAAACGTGTAACTCCAGGCATCGTTCACAGGGGAGTCAACCACCACGTGCATTGAAAACAAAACTTAGCACCACCCCGGAAAATCTATCTTTCAATTGTCCCAGAATCTAACACAACAACTCCATTTTTCTAATATTTGCCTTTAACCGAACTACTCCTTAAATAACATATTTGTGGTAACCAGATGACAAGGTTATCTTAAAATAGAACAGGGCGCAGTATGCATCATAAGTTTTCCTTAGAGGTCTCTCACAGGCGAAGATAAGATTATACAAACCCCGGGTTGCGTGACACATTATTAATTCTCAATCATTGTTTGTGATTTGTTCTGTTTATGTTTATCATAACACTAGAAATACCAGCCACGTGTGTTTTCCAATCACATCGATCTACTCAACAATAGTACTTGTGCTGGTTTTCAAACCCTGAGCTCTGCGATCCACATTGCAGCCAAATCGGGATTCACCGTTTGGTCAAGGTTTAAAAGGTGAATCATATAATCACGTGATACTCCACGATGAACGAGGTTGCTCATGCTGGAAATTGTGGGGACATTAACGACACACGCCGAATGAAGCGACTCGTAGTCACCGTGCAACACCTCCGATTAAAATTCAGCTGATCATCTCAAAGATGATTCGGAGATTCGGAAATCCAAAATGTTTTTTTATTCGGTTTTCATAAATGGACTGATGCTCCGTGCCTTTGTACCGTGCTTGTTTGATCAACACAAAAAACAGCACGCATGTATATGTTGAAAGTGTTTTGGCGCACCAAGCAAAAGGGCTTGTGATGTATTTTTAAAATTACTTTTCCTTTCTCTACACCGGCCTCACTGTTGTCAGAACGGTTGATTCAGATGCGACACATGTTCCTCAAAACCTCTCTGCCCCCCACTACACCCTAGGCGATAATAGTAGTTTATTCCATGAGACAAGCACATTTTATCCTTTGTGAGCTATTGGTATTCATCCACTGTAGACGTTCAGATCTCATCGTTGTTCTATTCACTACTGTCTCTTCTTGTTTCTTCGCAGTGATCATTGCCTGTTTNNGCCTGTTTATTAAGCTGGTTTTAGCATTAGTTTTATTGATATTGTGCATCGCGGTCAAAAGTATCAAGATTGTTTAAATATGTCTAATGTCTGCTTCATTCAATGCACAATTTTAACGGATTTTCCCGAACCACTCCCCTCTTCTTGATCTATCTCCCAGACCTCTTCGGTCAGTGGCACTACGGCCATTTGTGTTCCTCTCCCCAAAGCATGTCGTATAGCCTCGCCTATGCGTTTGCTCACTTGCTACTTCCAGCTGCTTTCAGACTTGGCCGACCTGCAGACAACCGAACGTAAAGTGAGTTCGAGTTTCTCCCTCTCTGTATGCAATAAAACGTGACTGTGATAGCCACCTAATCGACAATAAAGTGTCCGATTTATCTGATCAATGAATTAGAGAATATTTACATCAAAGACTGATGTAAATAATTCTCTAAGATAGAATCAAATATTCCACATTGTGCCATTCCTTTTTTTGAACAGTTTCCTTTGAATGGATGAACTTGAACTTGCCAGACAGAGTCTAGGGAGTTACACTGTAGCTTCACTGTTAGTGATGTGTTAAAGAATCGTAAAATAATGCTCCCGTTTGAACAAAAACCAAGAACAGAAATTTTGTCCAATAGATGAATTGATCCCCTAGTCAGTAGTAGCAATGGAGATAATGGGATGGCATAATGAAATGACCAATGGAATGGGTTACTGTGGCAATCCAACGTCGGAGTTGGATGCGGTCACTTATGCAGTACCTTCATAGTAATGGGTCGAAGGAATTAAATGACAATAACACTATCACTTTTTTCATGTGAGTAACGGGTTCGATCCCCAGTTGGGTCGAAGTGATCGCACTGCTGATGAGACCCAACCAGATCGTAACAGCTTTACAGTTCACGCTTCATTTGATATAGACACGACGAATTTCACCTCGGAAACTATCAATTTTCTTGTAATCACCCTTGCAAACAGTTGTCTGCGAATGGTCTTTCAAAGTTGTGGCAACAACACACCATGACGACGACCAAGCTCGTTTTCATTTTTTTGTAATCGTATCAATAATTAAAAGTAAAAATCATTACAATTGCTTTTGGGTGTGCATGGGTGTGTAATAGGTTACAGTCCTAATGACTCAGATCGAGATCTACGCCAGATTAGAGTTGGATTGCATCCTTAAGGCCTGTGAATACGATCCAGTCTCTAATATCCCGTGAGTTTCGACAACTGGGAAGATGTCAGGAACAACAACCAAATAGTCAGGGGAAGATTTATTGTTCTATTACAATAGCCCGATTGAGCAAGAGAGTATATGAAACCGAAAGGCCTAGTAAGTGAAGGTGTAGCACTGAACTAACTCACTGTTCAAGGTGAAGACACTTCATCGGGGGTGGTATTCACACAAACAAAGATTGAAGACCTGACTAAAGAAGCAACATCAGGATATCGACGATCCTGGCGGAATGCATGCTAGAAAAGAAAACTGCACTAAGGAATTCTCGAAGCATATTTGCGGAACGGGTAGATCAGATATGGTGATAACTCTCGAGAATGTTACACTGTCGAAGATAGAAGATACAGCACAGAGTATTAAAAGTTTTACTAGAGTGATGATGATATTGAAATAATATTTGTTAGTATCAGAATCATCGGTTTGTTAAAAATTTGCATTTTATGCTGTCGTCTTTCAGAGTGCTCTGAGCATTGACTGATGCATGGAGCCCCTCCGATGAGCCGTTCCAATTCTCGTAGTCAATCTTTTGTGGAAATTTCACTGGCTCTGTAAAGCCAAGTTCCGCAGACTGAGCTTAACTCAAGAACTGTATTTCATTGTTTTGTATTCGGAAATTTAATAACTTCTGGTGAAAGTAAAGGACCCATTACGAGACCGAAGAGATTTACATCACTGATTTATGGAAATCCTGCGGAACACAGTTACGATACGCCTGTCCCGGAAAACTACTAGAACTATCATTAGTACCGATTTTCGCACCAGATGATGAAAGCTTTTAACACCACATTTTAAGGAGCTACAGAAAAGACTGTACTAGGTACGATCAGATGTGCCGCATTTGCTCTTCGTAAGCCAGGTGCATTCTTTCTTAAAACGACTGTGGTTTATTCTAGGCTAAATTTCAATACATGGCGCTCTGTTGACAGAATCGATGAGCACTGCGTGATCTCCCCCTCCAATCCCCTCATCCCCCCGCCCCGCCCCTCACCGGAATGATGATTGATCACACCAGTTTCGTTAAGATCTATGCAAGCTGTTTTCTGACGGATCACATGTTCAT